ACGTAGTTTCCTTCCTAAAAAGCATTTGAAATGTTACGCATGTTCAATCCTTCAAAAAATCGTCCCGTTGTTCCGTTTTTTGTGCACACGCGAGTTTTCGACATTCAAACATTCATAACTTTCTTCATAATCAACTTTTTGCAGATGTCTAAGGCTAATTAGAAACTAGAAGATTAGAGCTTTCGAATAAGTGCTAAAACTTTTTGAAATAATCACTCGCTCAAAAAATAGTCCCGTTGTTCCGTTTTTCCACCTTGATTTTTTTCAAGCCATTTTCCTGGACCGCGACTATGCAGTCTTCAAAGGCCCATAACTTCCTTCAAAATTATGTGATGAGAAGCGGTAAAGACTGTTAGAATCTACTCGAAGAGTACTTCATAAAAGTGTGAAATTTTCCTGAAATTCTTTCTTCTGCCTCAATTTTCCTAAGGGGTCTCTAGAACTCAATTCAGCAAATTCGCTACACTTTGTTCCGCTTAGATTTGATTTGAAAGCATCGAAATTCTCTTCAGCTGCTTACGGCCGCTGACAGAGAAGGCGTTTTTATGGGAAAACGCCTGCTCGGGTATACGCCGTGCACCTGTCTGTGGACAGAAGTCGCACTCGCATTTGAAAGTCCTCCATTTTCCTGAAGAAGGTGTTAGTATCGATTGAGTTGCATTGTACTGTTATATGGTACTCTTGTTTCACTTCCCCATGAACTGCTCTACACTTTGTTCTCCTTGGGATTTCAGGAATGTTCGATCATCGAAAACAGACTATTGTAATCTTGATCTATGCTGTCGAGCAAAAGCGCCGTCCGTGTATAAGGATAATAAGGCTGATGTGAGACTTATAATGCTCTGCATGCTCTAATGCTCCCATGGAGCTCTTGTCTGTGTGACTCTCCGACAGCGTGCAGAGCTCCTGGAGAACATTAGAGGTGAAAGTGCACTCCCGGACACTGCACTTTTCAAGCCGTCTTGCAGCCCCGTCTCTCTGGATACGACCCCCTCCCTTTCGTTCGGCTGAATACGACCCCCTCGTTGTTCTTTGCGCAACGGGCGGTTGACCCTGGTCTGGCCTGCCACAAAGAAGTCCCATATCCTGACTGGAACAAATGGCTCAAGCCCAAGTTGGCTCTTATTTTAATATTTTTCTGAAACTATAATACTAAATATCGAAGGTGAGGAGTAGTACTATATCACACCTGCTCAAACGGATCAACCTCGTTTAACACTTCTTCTTCCTCTTCTTGTTCGAATTCGACAAACGCGTACGGGAACGTAAAGTCGTCTTCACTATAAGCAGAACCAGATGGTGGTTCTTCTTTTATTGCTGAAGCAGAAAAGCACGAATACTGAAAAGAATACGGAGAGCTAATGGATACTCAACTACCTTGATCAAAATGAGAATGTTGGCATCGTTCCATCCGCCGAACAGATTCATTGGCCTCTGCAATCTTTTCTCGCACAATACTGAGATACATGGGGTCTATTTGTTCATCATCTTCAACAAACCCTGGAACGTATACGGATAACTTCCTCTCAGAATTAAGAAAAACGGAATGGTCGGGGAGAGAGTACAAATTTCAGTCATGTACCTTGATTTCCTCCACTTATTGCATCCAGACGTGCCGAAAAGTCATCAAAATCGCGTTTTTCACGAAGGAGAGGTACGTACATGTAAACAACTCATATTAGTATTCATTCTTGGCGTTGTAGTTTTGATGGATACATTATAACAATTAAGAAGAACACAGAACGTCACCAAAAACTGTCTTCTCAATAGAATCACGGCCACAGTTTGCAATTCTGCGATTTTGCGACTTTCCATGGACTAGACACGTTCATCAGCATCAAACGACCACATGATCAATATGTATCTATTCCACACTCGAACTGCAAATGCACAGGACAGCCACAAAGTGTGACCGTGACCTACATTATGCTGCTTGATGACACACTGCTTGCGAGATTCATGGGCCTCATAAGCTTGTCTGCGCTTGCATCGTACACAGTGCTATGCTCTAGTCAGCCTCAACCAATACCAATTGTTGAACAGAGGAAATAGTTTCTTGGCATCCGCAAAAAAAGCAATCGTCTCATTCATTTCAGCCGGGATCATTTTATTGTTGTTGATCCATAGAATTATGCAGGAAAAAACACTCCTAGAAAATTCACACGGTACCGCCACTTGTAGCGCATCAGAATTTGATTTGGTTATGTTATGAATCTCTTTCTTGGTTATGTTGGAGGATTTTTTGTTCCAAATTATGTATAAATCCTGAATATTCAGTGGATAGAAGAGACTTTCTCCTCAACTTGCCATCATTAGCAATGCTTTTTTATCGTGGCTTACTCAAACTTCTACTCAGCACCGCTCTCCAAGCAACCACGGCCACCGAGGCTATGCCAACTTCCTTAGCACGTTGACGACAGGCCTACGCATGCGCGTCAAAACTTTAAAATTCATTTTTATTGTGCTTGCGCTCCTTCTTCTCGAGTTTTTTGTATTCATTCTATAGATAATACATTAGCATAACTATAAACCACATGGCAGCCAGAGTGGTCAAATATCCCTTGATTTAGCAAAGATTTTCTGAACGCACAAAACTTTCATTTCAATTCTTTCCTAGTATTCCTTTCACTGTCGTAAACATTCATATGAAGATTGTAGAAGCAGTTAATACAAAACTCTGTGAGTTTCAAGATATTTGTATTTGATGGAAGAACTTAGGTATAAATGCTTTTAACTTCATTCGCAGCGAAAGTGATGTTTTTTGCTTCTTCGTGGTCATTATGCGTTCTTCTAAACAAAAATCTACTGCTATTTATATAGTTAACCTTTATGCTTTCATCCTTGCCGAAATAATTCTATGAGATTCAAGTTGTTGTGCATTTTAAACAAAAAATAAGCGGAAGTAAGGTGAGGACGGCGCGCTCGCAAAATCGCTCCTGTCCCACGCGGTGCAAAATGCCAAAACACGCGATGTCGTCAACGTGTTAACCCATCCCCTTCTAGCACATTGACAGCGCGAGTCACATATGACCTCAACTCAAGAACGGAGGAGACTTATTTCACGTGCACTATTTCGCATTCTTCGTGCTTTCCCATGTAGACTATTGGAAACAGAACAAAAATTCATCAACAATAACGAAATCACGCATAGAGTAGACAACCCAGGCAGAGACCATGTGAACGTTTCCCTTCGGTCTGTAGTATAGACCCCTAGAGGACAATCACAAATGTGGCGTTCCCGTGCACGGAAACCAACCGACAAGAGCGCTTGGGCCTTGCAAAGTAAGCTGCTGAAGCTGCAGATTTTTTCTCTTATCAGGCTGTTGTCTGGCGCTCTCTCATCTGTAGCGCTCTCTCGCCTCATACTCTCCTCTCCGCGCTTAGTCTCTCATTCCCTTAGCACAGCCGATTAGGAAGGTGAGTTCCTTAACCTAGCGTTTTCGACGAATTCTTTTCCTTTGTTCTTACTGTTGATCCACTTATGGTTAGCACCAATATATTGCGTTCGCGTGCAGTGTGATCCTGGGGCATTCAATGGTAAAATTACAAAAAAAAACGAGTTGGTACACGCACATCGGCTGACATCAATAAGTAAGCACCTGCTCGGCGGCTCTAATAAGTTCTCGACCAACGTAAGAGATATAATCCCATCAAAAGACGTAGGGGTGGCAGTGGCAAGAGGCGTCGTTTATCACTTGCACGGTCCGCGGTCCCAATTGTGGGTCGACGCCATCCAGATCAAGCAAGTTCCCATCCTTCCCCCCCCCCCCCTCCCCCTCTCGAGACCGGTAAACTGGTAGGAAGCATTCGAGAGAATAAAACCACTGAGCTCTACATGTCGGCTGGCAATGCTTGTAGTTATTAAAAGGGTCGAATGGGTCGAATTGCTCTCGAAATATCACTAGGATTCTAAATTGAGATAAAATTAGTGGTGCATCCCGAAAGGGGGACATTCTGAGTCAAATATTTCATTTTGCGCCTTTTTGCTTGATCCATTTCTGAAGGAGAATATGCTAATAGCACACTTACTGCCCGTTTCTAAGCGTGGCCGAAATCCGGGGGAACACTTGCTGCTACTAGTTTCGACGATAATTTCTATTCAGATGCACAAAACCAAGTAAAACCACTATGCAGCAAGAAAACCTACTTGACCGGCTTCACAGTCCACATGAAAGCACTCAAATCGCTAAGAGCACATGAATTACTTTGAAGCTGTTGAGGGTGCATTCCGAACAACCGTCTGGTTTCGCCGCGTGTATTTATCGGATGCCTTGAAAGCAATCGCTGAACAAGTTGGTGCATCACATTTTGAAGAAAGAGCCACAAACTAACATTCGATAAGCGACGTAGTCCAGAAATGGCTCCGCTCCAAGATCATCCTCTTCCTCAAGCTTGGCTTTAGCCTCTTTCAAATCGGATAATTCCTGAAGCGCTCCTGACAATAATTCAAATGCTATACAAAATGTAGTAATTCTCAAAATAATTTTGAATGAACTGTTCAGTAGTCAAGAAATAGATGATACGCATTTAACTGCAAGTCGTTAGCCTGCAAAAACTAACTTTCTCAAGACATTCCAATTTCTCTAATAGCTTCGCTTCCAGATCATGGACGGGAATTCCCTGAAAAAATAATATTTCCTCAACTAATACAACATCGCACTGCCCAGATCTCACCTCACCACGAACATTTGCCATGTAGTCTTCATACAGGCTTCTCATTTTATCGTTAGGTCTTGAACAGAACTGGACAAAAAATTCCATGTAAATGTAAAAATTCTATGTAAAATGAAGCATAATTAACAAAATGTCAGACTTACACCTTCAACTGTGTCCGGGCATATGATATCTTTCGGATATTTAAGAAAGGTGTCGAAACTTTCTACTTCACTCTGAAACAAATAATTTGACCATAGCATGTGTAAAACGGTATTTGTATCCACTGGCTGGTGCTTACATATCTAATGCAGCGTCAATAACATAAGATGTTGAACACGGTACATTCGACAAATTGTACCAGCTGACTGAAGCTGCCAACGATAAACGTGTTGGGAGAGCTGGTTGGCCTCATCCATGGTCAAGGGAGGCTTTTTACTTCCTGGTGACTGCGAATAAGTGAGCTCGGACTGTTCGCTTCTCCCTAATGAGAAACAGGAATATTTCAGGAATATTAGATCTCGGGAGCTCCATATGCCTCCACATCAAGCGATGCTAATTCTTCTGATGCGTGCTACGGTCAAGGTGACTTTTGGTAGTGAGATCTGTCATTATAATATAGACATTATCTGCGCTTTTTTTGATTTTTGACAGACTTCCTCAAAAAGTCGAATTCTCCGAAGGTTTCGGTTACTGTTGAAGATTTTCAAAAAGGCATATCTCGCGACTTCTTATAATCACAGGTCCCATAGCCAAAAGTCACTCTGACGGGTAGCGCGTATCATATCGAGATTCGAAGTAAATGGAGCTACCGAGATCGAATGATTCTGAAATGCCCCTGTTTAGCAGTAGATATTAGCGAGGAGCCCGAGCTCACACATTCTCCGTTTCCAAGAAGCAAAGCTTTCCGTGGATGAGACCAGCAAGCCCTACTAAAGTTGCTACCTCTATCAGCTATCTCTTTGTGTATCGCAAAATCTGAGTCAATCTGCAACGCAGGCAACGTCACTGCTGCCCACAATTTGTTTAGCACATTAGGTGCACAGTAACCTATCCCATTTCTATGGGAAGCTGATATGCTCCAGCGAGCAAGAAGTTTCTTTTTGCCCCTCCTCCTCCCCCCGACCATTTGCATATTTTCTTCTGACTCACATCTTGAATAGTTTCGTCGCTGAAAATTCGTGGTACTCTCTTGCGAACAGACGCGGATGGCGGAGCTTTTCGCCTTGAACCACGCAAAGGTTTCAAGCTGCATTCGCGTAGCAAAGATCGCCTAGAATTACTTCAAATTCTGATCACAGAATTTTATCCCTGAAACCTAGTCAAAAGAATTAGTTCTGTTATCTTCCAGTTACCGAACTTTATATTACTGTAGCAAGCGCGTAGTAGCACACCAAAGTACTCAATATGAGTTTAGTGCGCGCAGTAGCGAGCAATAGCTTTTCAAGCAAACAGTCCTACCATGAGTATTAGTACGCACACCTACAATACATTCGACCGACACCTTATACCGCACATATGACCTCGGTTAAGTACATGCTTCTAGAAATTTAATACAATTCTGGGTAAAAGAATCACACACGGAAAAGCCATAATTCTATCCCACTCATAAATCAATGGCCTGATCGTGAGCAACTTCATTCACGACAAGAAAGAAAAGAACAAAATGCGTTTGTATGGGTTCGTTGGATCTCGGTGTTCACTGAGAAGTCTCTTGGTCTTTTCCATCTACGGCAGTCACACTTCGTTTTTCTACCGCATCCCCTTTTTCAATATTTTGCCTCTATTCTTCAAATCCTAACGCTTCGATCAGATTCTTCCGATGCGTCGCCTGATAGGTGGTCGCCTCAAACCGCATTTCCTTCCTTGCGTTCCCTTTTATCCGCCCGACCTACCCGCGACCGTCTCCAGCATGGTTTTTGTAGGTTGAGCACTTCGTTAACTAAACCTTCTTGCGTGAAACTTTGTACGTTGTCTCTGCAACCACAAATGACGTGTTCATGTTGTGAGATATTGCAGTTTCTATGAACGATTCCTCCGAAGGCAATCACGTGCGAGCAAGACATAAACGATTCGACAATGAGCTGTGCCGCTCAAAATAGTGCAAAATCCCTGACAAAGTAGCAGAAAGCAACAGCACGATTTAATGCCCTCTCAATCCTAATCAGGCAGTGCACATGATTTCACCGCTATGAAACTTATTCTCTTCGCATATTATGAGCAGAGCATACAACACCCAAATAAGGCGGGAAGTCTGAACTGCGAGGCGTGACTTCACGCTGTACGTGTGTAACAGATAGGCAGAGCACGAGGTCGCGTTTCACAGTTCGTGCTGCGGCTTTCTGCTACACGCCCCCCAGTGTTGACAGCAATTTCTTGTCAAACGTAAGAAAGTACTCTAACGAAAAGGACAATTAGTACTAAACTTACGTCAACTTCCTTCGATTGGCGCGTGACAGCTTTTCCGGGATATTTTCCTCCAAGTTGTCTCCTAGCGTTTCGCATTCGTTTCCTGAAAATGTCAACAACGACTTTTCTACAATAATAATAGTACCTGAGATGGCTGTCTGCTGCCGATACTTGAACACCAAATGTTCCTAAATGATCTACTCCCATGTAGGAGAAAGAATCGACATCAAACGAAAGTGATTTTGACTACCATCGAGGAATCACCCAAATTGAAAAAAAGAATAAAATTACCAGAGCTGCTCGGCGATTCCCTATTCCCCAATTCATGCAGATCTTGGGGAGCATTCATCTCAACTTCCACTGCTGCATTTCCATGGAGTCCTCGTTCCAGAAGGTCTGGTTCCTTGTCAACATTCAAAATTTTCGGTGGTTCGTTTTCGACCTTGGGAATGGTGTCCATCTCAAGCAAATCATTATTTTCATCAAGGAAACAAACGCTTAGCGCAACTAATAAAGCATTAATCCAGCAGCTTACAATCATTTTCACTTACTTGTTTACCACGACGACCTCTGCCCTTCCTTGGGGGCTTTTCCTTAAAGTCCATACTGCACAAAATTTCATCCAAGAAGCAAACTTCAGCATCATTCGCCTTCAAAAGAAAAATCTTCCATTGGAAACCAGAGTCAACCCTGCGTTGCGCAGTTCGCAACGGCACGTTGAGAGATCCTCAACGCACGCTGTATGGGCGGAGACGCAGACGGCTCGAGCATGCGAGTGTGAATGTTCGCGCGAGAGAACGTGTCTAATCGGGCGAAACTGCGCAACGTGGCCGTTGAGAACTGCGCAACGCAGGGTTGACTCTGTTGGAAACTAACACTGGCGCTGCGATCTTACTGATATCCTACTTACATTAGACTCATGAGCCTGGCTTGCTCCGTCTCCAGGTCGCCTGAAAAGAATATGTAATCTAATTAATCAAAGATTGATATTAAAGGAGCCCAGATGTCAACCTCCCAAAACGCAGCTGTTTTCGATATTGCCAGGTAATTTCATAGGGAAATAAAACATACTGATCCTCGCTCGGTTCGTGTTTGACCACTCTTTTGACCGTCGTCGCACGAGGTCTTCTGATTGTGGCAACGGCTGCAATATCTGCGTTAAATTATTAATAAGGTGAGACCTGGTAAAGATGCTTACACTTCTTTGCAACTCTTTCACCATCACCATCAGAGGGGCGAGGTTTTCTAGATGTCCTAGTGACCTGCAAGCTGTGCCTGGATTCAGAAACAATATCACGAGTAATACCAGCCGAGTACTCCTTACATCTACTCACGTAGATATAAAGAAACTGAAGTGAAATAATGAATGTACGCCATTATCAAATTGCTAGTAATCAACCTAATACTAGTGATATCGCCTAACAAGGGTCGTATCCAATGCCTTCCCCAGGCTGGGGGAATGGAAAATCCTTTGAGGTTTTGTGTTCAACGATATACGTTCTACATTTTCAGAACATATTTACGTTCAACACGTACTTACAACACAAATTGGCCTTTTATAGGGTAATCCCAAACGAAAAGATTAAAGAGATATGGAAGATTTTCGCCTCCTCCCTCTGAGGGAAGGATAAGACGCGACCTTAGACGAGAGCTCAACGAGGTGAGCAATAACACATATACAGTGGGTGTGGTGCCTTCCGTCAGAAAGCAACTTTTGCTGTCGCAGCGCTAAACTTTTTTCGCGGCGGGAACCTCTGGTCCACCCATGACCAGCGGTGGACGTGGGGCTCCCGCACCGAAAAGCGAAGAAGTCACTCTCTGTCCTAATAAACCAACCCCACCCTTGTACAGTTTACGCTAATGAGACCTAGTCCGACACACACTTTGGCAACCACAAACAGCAAAAAAATGGGAGTACAAGAAACAGAATAAAACGAACTAAAATTATCAACATGTATGCACACGCACCTTACGCTTTGGACGAACCACCGCTTCAGCTGGGTCGATGAGTTGAACAGTTCGGCGCCCACTATCCAATCGGGGATGAGTGAAAGTCTAAAACCGGCAATAATATTCAACTCCGCAAAGTGTCCTGTGAATTGAAGGAAAGCTTTATTCAATTCCAATGTCCCAGAGCCATAGGAGAAGATGAGGCCCCGACCAAATACCGCGTAAGGGGTGACTCTGGAGGTAACTCAACTCATGCATTTAAGGTCACCTGACCATCTTACGTGAAGAGCCACTCAACGGCCACGTTCGTCCACCCCGGCTTGATCTGACTGCTACGGATACTACTGTTAGGAGAAAGTCCAATTCCTACACGGCCAGAGCTCGGGACATATGTACAGTGATAAAATGTCAGAAAAGAATCAAGCAATTACAAAACTTACACGCTTCCTACCGCATATAGAGTTCACGGTACCAAGACTTCCTAAAATGCTCGGTTTTTCAGAAAAGGAGTGATGCTCCAACTGAAAATATTACTTCAATATTACTTGATGAATAAAAATCTTTTAAATGAACTATTTTGCCTGCAAGGGAACTACGACATACCTTTTCACTTTCTTGCTTGACAGCGCAGATACCGTTTTCTGAATGGAGTGATACTGATAGTTCATTCGCACTAGCTTCGGTGGGTTCATTTTCTTCTACTTTTATCAATAAGGAAGAGTCCTAAACAACGGAAAACCTGAGTCGTCAATATAGCGAACAATCAAATTTCCATGTATAACTCTACCAATCCAGAAATTTCAAACATTCATTATTTTGCTGACTTGCTTAGAGGAGTGGATGGTTTTCACACGACGTTGTGGTTTGATTGTCAGTACTTCACTCTCAGAAGCCAACGCACTCGTCCTCGCACTCGAGCGAACGATGCGATCTTTGAGAGAAGCCGGCTGAAGACGAGAAAAGATGGAATGTACTGGCACAAAAACTGCAGAGAGAAAATTCAACTAAAAATTCTGAAGAAGCACATATTTCTCCTGGGTGAAACTGTTATCATAAATCTGAGAAAATCTTATAGCAATGTTTACCTACCAAACGAGACCTCTGCTGCCGACGACCAGACGATGACTTTTCCTTCTCGCTTGATAAGAATTTAACATCATCCTCCTGAAGCAAAGCTTGCTATATCAGGGAGGCGTCAGGGTCATAATTAATGGCTAGCTTGTCGTTCTTTGCAGCTCGAGTGTGGAATAGATGCACATTGATTATGCGATCACAGGATCGCATGATCGGAAGATCGTACGATCGACACGTCCGTGCCCCACAGTCGAACTGCAAACGGCAGCCAAGTATGACC